CATTGGCAGTCTTAGACCAAATAAAAAGGAGACCACACTTGGGGATGATTTAACGAAGTATGAACGTGCATAAAGGAAACATTTTGAGTGCACCTTAGCGTTTCGCAACTGCAGGAAAATCCAAAACTCGATTTTTGGACGAAGAATATAAAACATGTTCCTTCTCATCAATTTATTTTAACTTCTCCTGGTCCGGATTTCGATCCATTCAACTTGTTTTTATGTGCCTGTAAAAATGCCTATTTCTACGTGCAATAGTTCTCGGAAAATAATCACAATATAACAATATGCAGAGTCAGGATAAGGGGTTTGTTATTATGATGTAGAATGCTTGGTTTTGAGCAGCCTATTTGGCCCCATTTCCAATTACTTCCAAATAATTTCTAGTGCCAAAACGTGGTTTTTTTTGCTGACATGACACTGTGTTTTTGTGTTAAATGTTCTTGGTCTTGCTTTTTCCCCTCAGTGAAACCTCCCAGCGGTAGTGAACTTGAAGGTAAATTTGTTACATTTGTTGGTGTATACTCACTCAGCTATCAAAATACCAAGAAGTAAACACTACTGAATACCAAGCAAATGCATGTATCTTCTATTCCTTAAAACGAACGGGATGAATGTACATTCCCCAGCAAAACCTTTTATGAGCAAGTGGTGAGCTTCCTTTACACCTATTAGGCGCGGCGCGTCTGTGGGTAATGGCTGCAGGCCCAAGGCGATTTTCCTTTCGTGCCTGTGCTATTTTCATCTGCACTCATAACATTTGTACGCCATCGTCCTTAATTTATCGACTCAGTGGCCCTGAACTTCACACATAATTGTGTTAGCCGGCTAATAGTATTTGGTACCTAATGTCTGGTATCTCAAACTTCCACTGAGTACCTTTATATTCAGTGAAAGAACTCAATACTGTAGTGAGTCTGGTGTGAGTACATTTTCTGCTCTAAATGCCAAATGTTTTTTTGGGGGGGGATGCATAGGGCCTAATCCTGGAATGTTTCAAAATTTATTTTAGGTTTATTTCAAAATTTATTTTAGTTTTACTTTCCCCGTGTTGTTTGCAAATTTTAGTCTCAAAATGTTAATATTTGCACATGAAAAAAGACCATCTGTCCCGCAGGGTTTTAATCCAAACGTTTTAAAATAACTGTACTTTCCATTTTATATTACAAGATGCGCGTAGAATGAAAACTTTGCAGATAGCTTTTGATGCAAGAACAACCTTTTGTTTTGAATTTAAACTCTTGATACTTACCGACAGGTTTCTAAAATTTTACCCACCACATGTATTGGTGAAATGAAATAATGTAATGACGATTTATTTCAATTGTTGCAGCTACCACAAGACCCCCAGCGCCAAGACCAAGAGGTATTTTAGATATTAATGATTTGGAAATGAACAGAAAGATGTTGCCTTTAAACACACCGAGGAGCTGAAGATATTAATGCTATACGTCGAGCATACGGATCGGCTTAATTACTCTGAATTTGTATTTGACGGAGGTTCAGTCATGACGTGCTCCCTATACTTTATGGATTTTTTCAGATCCTTGCTCTCCTACCAATCCCTGTCAGAACGAAGGAAAGTGTCGCAGAGACGGAGCTTCTAGTTACTCTTGCGAATGCAAAGACGGATACACTGGGACAAATTGCGAAACCGAAATACGTAATGATGAAGCTCTTAACTAAAATAAGGGGAATTCGGTGGACTTGTCAAACTGTTGTTCTTGTTGATATACCATCTTGGGACATAAAACGAAGAAAACTGAAGTGCCAAAAAGTTTGATTTTTTATAGTTATTGCTTCTTTTGTTAAAGTCTTTGAAAGAATTCACTCCACAAAAGGCCTTTGTATTATGTGCATATTGACTTATAAGAAATTAAAAAAAAAAAACAAATGCCTTAATCGTGTCAAATATTGAGCTTCCATTTCCGACAATTCAAAATACATGACAATCATTGTAAGCCTATTTACTCGTAGGCACAGGAAATGTAACAAAACTATTTTGTGGTAGTGTTTTAGTCAGAGATGATATAAAAGAGAGAACGAAAAGAACTTTATTTTAGATCAAAAGTGAATTTAAGGTCATGCGAAAAAAATTGTTGCTTGACCTCAGCCACCTTCCTGATTTTTTATTGCATTTTATAGTTTTCAAATTTTTGTCTCTATGGAAACTCCAGAAAATCTTTCTCGTGAAATTGAGAGGACTATTTTCCCATTGGTCATAATTTTGAACTCCCAGTAAAATAACGATGGAGGTAATGATTTTCCTTAACGTCGCTGGGTGGCTCTAGTTTCTCACGGGCTTTCTCTTTTTTCTACGGGTGCGTATTTAGTACCGTAAACACACTTACTGAGCCAAGTACGCATCTTTCTCTTTGACTGTGCCTAGAAACGTAACTCGTCAAAGTAGATTTGGCACATGCCTGCAAATGTGACGTAACTTGTCAAACTAGATTTGGCACACACTTCTTCAAACTTTACCTGTGTGGCTCATAATGCATGATCACGCATAATAAAAGTAGCTTTTGGAAAATCTCAGAGTGAGAAAAACGCATGTCATGCTTTGCCGCTTCCATAAATTAAAATAGTTCGTCACAATTGTACATGGAATCGTAACAACTGTTGTAGCCTACTGAATTAAATGGAAGTATTTT